TGCGGAGCCCTGAGCAGAATAACATAGGGCACCAGCCCCAGGTGTTTTGTTAGAATCTCTCAGACAATTGTTGTACTAAGCTGACTTGTGAAAAACTGTCCATCTTTGCGGCAGGTTAGTCATGATAAAACATGAAATAATTTCAAAATAACAGAGGAATATGGTGTAAATGTTGTTCCCTGCACACACTTGAACCCTCAAGTGAGACAACTACATTCAGTGGCCCTCAGTATAGGCCAAGTTTTTGGAAACAAAGACTCATCATTTTTTGGAAACAAAGACACTTAACTGCCTTTGTATGCTTTTGCTGCTTTAACAAAATACCTAAGACTGTGCAATTTATGAAGAAAAAACTTTTTTCACAATTCTGATGACCAAAACCAGCAACTGGCAGGTCAGTGAGCTGCTCTCTACTTGAAAGATGATGCCTTGCTGTTGTGTCTTCTGGAAGAGATGAATGCTATGTCCTCACATGCAGACAAGCAGAGGCACAAAAGAGCGTGAACTTCCTCCATTGAGTTTTTTAATAAGGTCACCTAATCCCATCTATGAGGGCTTCAATCTCATGACTTAACCACCTCTAAAAGGTCTCACCTCTTAATGGTGTTCTACTGGCAATTAGGTTTCAGCATATGAATTTGGGGAGACACATTCAAGCTACAGGAACAACCTTATACTGGTTCTTAAGTAAGTCGATATGCTACTCCATCCTCAGAGATACAAAGTCTTTTGTGAGTTTTATCCTTGTACAGAATTCTCACACTAAGAAGTTTCTGCATGTTCTTACCATCTACACATAGTTTACCTCATCAGAAAAATTCAGAACACCTGAAAATCCAGGTCATTCAGGTCCAGGGTCCTCAGATTAGGTACCTCACAATCACCATGCTGGATGCCCATGAAGACAGTTGTCAGGCTCTACAACGACATTGAGCTCAACAACTACTTCCAAATCTATAGGAATTATTGCCCTACACAAACAATCTCAGGAAATGGGATACTACCCACAGGGAAAGCTTCAAACTTATTCAGAGCAGTAAAGCTCAAGTCTGCCATTCTTCTTGCACTCTATCTCTCCCTCCCTCCCTCTTGGAACAGCAAGATCCAGGAAGTCCTTTTACCTGTACTTCATCTCTGTAGAAAGGGTCTTCCCTACCATCTGGGCAGGCAACCTCCTGTGGCTCTCATCAATTCTGCAGCTCATCTCAAACCCAGTTCCCTGTTTTTCCTCAGGCTTTGTTTTCCTCTCAGATCTCCAAAGAGAGCCAGAGTCAAGTCACACAAATGTGTTGGCCCAATCAAACACTGAAGTGGTGGTTCCAATCTCTCTCTCATTGGATAGCTAGTCAGTGAATAAATAAGTAGGTAACAGTTTCAGGTCACTCTTCATTCAGGCAATGAGCACATAGTACGATAACTACCCAAAATTTAAAAAATATATATATATATATAAAACCTTAAATCATGTTGCAATAGCACAGCTCACTGCATGAATACAAAGCTCTGTTTGCTTCAAATCCCAATGACTAAATGTGTACTTTATTTAACTACACCGAGACACAAGCCCCTTGTGTACTGATGGTGAAAGCAACCTGTGTAGCCTGCTAAAAGAGTGTCCTCTTGAACTCCAAGCATCGACATGTAGGCCCACCTTGTGGGTAACACACTATCAGGCAGGTAGTGTGAAGACTGGGGTTGCCAAGGTACAGGAATCTCTATTGCAGGAAAGAAGGATGCTCGTAGTTAGGAGAGGCATGGAGACTCCCTTGCCAAAGGTTCAGCCACATATTATATCATTTCTTGCTCAGATTCCATAGCAATTCCCTGGGATTTTAGTTGCTGTCCACCTGTCCCTTAGAGAGTGCCTGAGCTGTAGAAAGCCACAGAGTCCCACTTTCTGTCTTTTTCAGGTTGAGTTCCTGTAAGGAAGTATGGTCCTAAGGCGTTCAGGAAAAAACTCTCAGTAAAGTGGAAATAGAAGGGTACATCCTTAATCTGGTAAATGATATCTTCAAAAGAGCTGTCATCAACAGCATACTTAGGGTGAAAGGTTGAGGGCTTTCCCGTAAAGAATAGGCTAAAGGTGTCCATTCTCACCATTTCTCTTCAACTTTATGCTGAAGATCCTAGGCAATGTAGTGAGTTACAAAAATTTAAAAGCATAGAAATTGGAAAGGAAGAAACAAAACTCTATTGTAGACAATATAATAGTTTACATATAAAATAAAAGGAACCTAAAACAAAGTGATGAGAACTCATGATTTTAGTAAGGTCTCAGGATAAAAAGGTCAATATACAATAGTGAATTGAATTTTAAAAGGAACATCATTCTACTGTAAAATCTTCAGGGATCATAAGGCAAAACATATGCAAATGCCCACATCCTACAAACAATATAGCAAGACCTGAGTCAATGGTAAGATATACCATGCTCGTGGATTGGGATGCTCAATATTATTCAAATGTAAGTTTTTCCTATATCAAAAGATAGTTCCAGTATAACCCCAGTCACAATTCTGGTGAGCATCTTTTTAGAGGTGGGTAGAGTTCGAAAAGCTGATTCCAAAATTCAAATGAAGATGCAAAGAAGCTAGAATAGCCAAAATGATACTAAAAAAGAAAAGAAGGTTGGATATTTTGAAATGAAATGGCAAACAAAATTTGAATAAAAATGTGAAAATTATAGTCTATAAAGATGATTCCAGAATAAGAAAAACAAGACATAAAAACCTATTAGAATGGAAAAATTAACCAGACATATATTTTACCAAAGAAAGTATCTGGATGTAGAATAACCACACAGAAAGATATTCAATATCAGTAGTCATCAAGGAAATACAAATTATAACACAATGAGATTCTGCTACATGTCTACTAAAATAATTGACAATACAAAGCATGGTCATGTTACAGAGTAACTAAAACTCTTATATGTTGCTAATTGGAATGTAAAATTCTTTAAAATTAAACATATGCTTTTTCACATGCCCCAGCAACTTTATTCCTACATATTTTCTCCAGAGAAATCACCAACACCCCAAAAATTTGTATGTAAATTATATCTATATTCACAATTGGTACAAACAGGAAAGAATGCAAGTGTCATGCAAGTATCACGAATAACAAATTATGGAACCCTCATACAAAAAAACATGCTATATAACAACAATAAATGCAACATTAAGTTACACAACACATGGATGAATCTCAAAAGTAGTGAAAGATTCCAAAGATAAGCACACCAAAAACTACACAATGGATGACCTAATTTCCATAGCATTCTAGAAGAATTGTCACTGTAGGAATATTACTGAAGAGAAACCTAAGTAAACCTTCCAGCTCCACATGCTCTTAATTGATTCTAAGTTATTGATTTTGGAGGTGACACAGATGAGCATATGCTATTGGTCTCCCACTGACTTAACTGTAGAAGACACCTCAGAATGCAACCACCTAACTGGTTAAAAAGCATTCTCCAGAAAATGTTATTGCCCCTGTCCTTGGGAGAAATGTTGTTTTCTGCCTCCCATGGTCCTCTGGGTAAAATTAACTGTTTGCTATCTTCGCCTGTTCTCCAAGGAAAAGATGCCTTTTGGATATTAATTAACTACAGAATTAATTATCCCTAAGAAAAAGAACTAAAAAAGAAAAGAGTCTTATTAAGACTTTCTAATCAGTAACTTTTCTTTAGCTTTACAGATACAGAACATCCAGTGACCTACAGATAGCAGCAGCCCATGCATCAAAAAGCAGACTACCTGAAATTTATAATTGCTTAGTGCCTACTTGCCTGATAGGCCCACAACTCCCTATATAATTCCCCTGCAACCCCTAGGTAAGATGGTCTTTACCAGAAATAGTTCCATCTTCTTAGTTTTTTTGGCACTCCAAATAAGTCTTTTCCCTCACCCAACAACTTGTTCTCAAGTCACTGACTTTTTTGAGTGGAAAGCAAGAAACGTAGGCTCACAGCTCCAGGAACATAGGTCAGGCTGATGACCAAGACTTAAGGATGCTCATAAAACAAATTCTGAAGTCCTGTAAATACTTTGCCTTGATCATAGTGGTGTCTTCATGACTGTTCATACATGAAGTCTCATCCCATTACACATTTAAAGTTGATGGATTTTATTATATATAAATCACACTTCAGTAATGTTAACTTAAAAAGCCAAAATGAGGTACAAGAAACATTGGAAGAAGCTGCACTATTGGCTTTAAAATGACACTCATTTTATTGAGGAACATTTACATAGAGCAGACAGTAGGCTGGGAACACTGAGGGACTGCTCCCAGTTCAACAGGACAGAAGGGAAGCTAAGACAGAGTGGTATGCACAGAGAAAGGGACAACTTTCTACTACTAACCCCTCTTCCACTTCACAATATTATCATTTAATTCACTTCCTTTTTGCTTTGTTTCCAAGAAGGACCCTGTATGCATGGTATTTTTTCCCAGATACAAAGTCACATTTTGATATTAAGAGATAATGGGAGACTGTTGACTTTTCATACATATTTCACCTTAAGACATAGGAGAGAATGATGCTCACAGTGAGACCAAAGTAACATCCACATTCTAATGCAAGATGAGAAGACCTGCTTTTGACAAGACTAACCAATCCTTTTAAAACCATATTGCTCCTCCCTTTTCTAACCTATAGTGTCCTTACTTCCTTTTGGCATTCCTTTGTAGGCACTGACTGTGGTGAATGGATAGGTCTATTTTTTCAGAAGAACTGAGTTTAACTCAGTGACAGATACTTAATTACCTTTGCTTCCAGGGCCTCAACACAGCGTCAAACTGATTCACAGTTTAATTAGTTTAATAATATCTTCCTTGACTTAGTGTCACACTGTCTGATACCGGACTCTGGAAAGCCTTGCCTCTGGTCTAATTCCCCACCATGGAGCCCTGACTGTGAGAAGCATCCTGCTGGCACTAAAGGGTTCTTGTGGGCACTACAGACAGGTGGTTTCCAGGGCACATTTTCCTTATACTCAAGAGCGGGAAACAACACAGAGCTTATAGTGTGGTGGTGTGCGGCCAAAGCCAATTGCAATAGGGCTAAGGTCAATATCCTTTGGCTCAACCAGAGACTTCAGATTAAAATGCTGCAGAATAGCAGAGAGGAGCAGAAACAATTCCATGCGGGCCAGACCTTCTCCAACACACACTCGTTTTCCTAGAAGTAACAACAGAACTGATGAGACATGGAGGGAGCCTCAGAAAGGCCCCTAACACTATTAACAGAGAGACTGCAGGGGTCGGATGGGAGGAGGCTGTGGGCAAACTACATCCTAACGCAGGATTCACCCTCTCTGCTCAATGAGACAAGCAGAAAACATGTCAAAAACAGGAATATTAGTGACAATGACTTATTCAGGGACCAGTTTTTACACTACATCAATCATACAGAACTGAGCTGTAAAAACAAGTCTTAGATTGGGAAAATGGCCTCTGACCACTGAAGAAGGAACTGTCCAATGCTTCCCCTCCTTGCCTTGCAGGAGAGGAGCTGGGATGAGGCTAGAAGCCAACATTAATGTTAAAGCTATCTATCAAGATAATTGTAGAATCTTCCTTCACCAAAGCCCCACTGTCGCTGTGGGAAAGAACCAATAGCCACCAAGTCACATCTACAAAAGGCCTTAATGCTCCCTAAAGAGAGACCAGGTCATCAAAAGCTAGAGGTTTTGGGGTTTTTTTGTAACCCTTGTTTAAAATTGTGAGAAGTTATAAAATGTGTTTTGAAGAGATTTTAACTAGGTCCTGTTAAAGTAGAAACAGTTTATCAATGAATGAAGCAAAATCTGCACTCTGTGGAGAAAAAAAAATCTATCTGCAACACCTGATTTAATGAAAGATATCATACAACTTCTCTGAATAGGGAGGAGCACACGTAGCTCATGTTGTAAGTACAAACAGGGATGTGATGAGGCTGGAGTGTCCATCTACCTTTGGAATGATGACAGAGCACTAGGGAATAGAGATGAGGAATGGAGGAGACATTCCTCAAGGAAGGTGCCAGGTCTGAATTCTGCTTACCTGCAGAAAATGCCTTGAAATAGTCACTGTACTTGAACTTTCCATTTTCGTTCAGAAAGTGATCTGGTTTAAACTTCTCTGGTTCTGGAAATTCTTGGTTGTCATACAACACAGAGTCCAGCGTTGGAATTACAACTGTGCCCTGGAAGAAGTAAAGATGTTTCAGTCAATTAAGTTAACAAAACATGGGCTTTTATCTGGAAGCCCCCAGTGGAGAAGATTGTTTGAATTTTACTACACAGACAGCATATTTCTAGTTGGGAAAGCTGTTCAGTTAATGACTGGATAGAAGTTACCAGGAGTCAGGGATACATGAAGAGGAAGGCCCTAAACTTCTCATAGGATGGACCTCAGGACTGGTTGTTGCTGCTGTTGGCTCCTGGTGTTAGGATGTGCTACAAATCCCAGGTGATCTGAGGAGGCACTTTCCCAGATCACTTCCATTCTCTGGTCACCAGGTCATGTGAGGAATTCTGAGGAAGTGGCACTGTGCAGGGTGGGAATGCTGGCCTGGTCCCTGACATCCATCCACATTTTTCTAGAGAAAGGAGCCCTTGAATCTCTACTCTACCCCCAAGAAGGTGAAGGGATGAGTTGACAAAAAGGTGCCCACAATGTGCACTCCACTCATGTCTGACCTTGGGAATGCGGTATCCTTGGAACATGGTGTCCCGGGTTGCTTCATGGGGCAGATTCGAAGGCACGAGGCTGATAAATCGCTGAATTTCATGCACCACAGCATCCATGTAGGGCATCTCCAGCCTGTCTTTGACAGCAGGGATGCGGCTTGGCCCAATGACCCTGTTGATTTCTTCATGAAGTTTCTCTGCCAAGATACAAATAAGATCAGTTTAAAAGGCTGATTCCAAGATGAATGCTCATCCACTCACTCATCCAACCATCTCTCTATCTTCTTACCCACGTTTCCATCCAAAAACCCACTCATTTACCCACCTATCCACCCACTCACTCACCTACTCATCCACCCACTCATCCATCATCCACCTGCTCCCTGCATCTATCCACCATCTATCCAGCCACACGTCTATTCAACCATGCTTTCATCCACCCACCAAATCCAGATGTTTATGGAGCATCCTAAACAGTGCTTATGGTCCCTAGGCACTTCAAATTATTGATTAATTTCCCTAAAATATGAATAAAAGTTAAACTCCACGAGATTATTCAAAGTCAACAGAAAGTTATCTCGGCTGATGATGATTTATCCAGTTCCTATCTTCATGTCAGAAGTTGAGAATAACAAAAAGCGTATTGGAAGTTTTTCATAAAGGGAAATCTTTGCATCAATTTTCAACCCCAGGCTGGTTTATTGAATGTTTCTAAAAAGTATACAGGGGGTGGCATATGGAACCAGATGTGCACAGTCAATTTTTTTTCTTTGCAGTTCTGAGGATTGAACCCTGGGTCTTGTAGGCAAGCATTCTACCTCTTGAACTATGCCCCCAGCCCTTTTGGTTTGTTTTTGAAACAGAGCCTCAACACTGCCTTTTGTCTGGGCTGATCTTAAACTTTAGATCCTCATGCTTCCACTTCCCAAGTAGATGGGATTACAGGCGTGAGCCACCACACCCAGTCACAGTCTACTTCAGTACACTGCCTGACAGGGGTAACAGCAACCTCTGGAAATTTTCTCATACTTTAGGTGTTTGAGATTTCCTATGGAGCTATATAAAATATTGAGTGAAAAAAGCAAACTGAAATTTGTTATGTATGGTATGGTACCCAGGTAAAATATTAAGGCATATACAATAATCAGTTGTATGCTGATACTTAGTTAATAGTGAATGTACCTACTCACATGTGGGGATGATACACAGAAATTCTGAAACATTGCCATCTCTGGAGAGGGAGGCATGAATTGGTGGGGCCTTGGCTTGTCTGTGTAACATGTTCCCTTTTTAAGAGCTCTGAAACAAATACCCCAAAATGTTAATATATGTTAAGTTTGGCAATGGATGTATGGGTGTCTGTCATATTTACATTCTTTTTATCTATATTGAAAGTCCCTCAGAAATAATCATTTAAAACATTTTTTGAGTTCATGGTTCCCATAATACAGAGGTCAAATGTTCTCTTGAGGTGTGACTCAAGTGGTAGAGAGCCTTTCTAACATGTGAGGACCTAGGCTCAATTCTCATACTGCAAAAAAAATAATCATAATTGCTGCTGATCTGTACAATGTTTCCTTTCCTAGACTTTTGGATCCTTCACCCTTCATGTTTCTGTATGGTGAAAAAAAACAAAGACTTTGCTGACAGAAAGATCAGAGACCAGGACCTGATCCTAGAGTAGTCATGCATCCATCTTCTTGGGGGTTATTGCTTCACATCCCACATCTACTCTCAAGAACTGACAAGCTGAAAGAACACAGTACACCAAAGGACTTCCTTGTGCTTGGCACTTAGAACAAAATTCCTGTCAGCAGCTAGTGTGGCCCTGGTGCTATTATCTGAACAGCATCTGCCCAGCTCTGTGTCCAGTCCTGAGGGTAATGGGGATCAGAGCCTTAAGCGCTCTCATGGAAGTCTGCAGCTCCTTCGATTCCTTTTTACTTGGAGGTTAGTCCCATTGGCCATTTACATGTAAGTGCTCTCACATTGCTCTACCTGGCCCAGGTGGGTTTAGGAATGGCCCTTTGCATACCAGTATACCATGTCTGGACCCCTATGGAGTAAGATGTCCCAGGAAAATTCCAGACTTTCCCCTGATCCTAGCTCTGCCTAGAAGACCAAGTCTTCTACATGGCAATGTGAACATTATTTTCACTGTCATGAATAGGTAATTTACAAAAAGCAGAATGCATATCCATCCCCTCTTTCCACATCAGTGTTGGGCTTCTCTTTTCTGTAACCAGGGCCTCCATTAAGGCGTGGGACAATTAGATCAGTGTTCAAAGGTACCAGATGCCAGGCACCTCTATGAACTTCTTCCCTTAAAGCCACTCATCCGTGATTCTCTGGCACCCAAGAAGGTTAACAAGCAGCTACAACCCAACATCTGAGACCTAAAATGCATAAGGCTGACTGTGCAGGGAGGCTTGACCTGCCACGTGGGTGTCTTGCTCATCATTCATGTACCTTCTATCTCTGGGTATTTCATGAGAATCAGGAGCCCATATCTCAGAGTTGTGCTTGTGGTCTCTGTCCCTGCAAAGAACAGGTCAGCCAAGGTCACAGAAATATTTTCCATTGTGTATACAGGTTCCGTGCTGTGTTTTTCCTGTGAAGTTGGAGAGAGACAAGAGCTGGGTGAGAAGATGTTGTCTTCAGATACTGAGAAGGCAACACCTTTCGCTCTTCAGCAGAGGAGCCAAGGGTGTGACTGTTTCTCCTAGTGCATCCGGAACTTAATCATCTCTACCTCACAGCAGGAGAAACACAGGATCTCAGGTAATGGGCTGAAGGCAGGACAAGGCTCCTCACCCAGGCCATGGAGCTCTGTCTCTGTCAATAGCACCAGGGCCATCTTTTAGGAGGTGGAATGACCTGGTTTCTGCTAATGACTCTCCACCTGCAGAGGCTAGCCTCAGCCTCGTTCCAACCCTGAAGCTCATGCCTTCGGGGAGGGACTGAAGCGGTGGTAGGAATTCTCAGTACCAGAAGTTATCCAGGGGAAATTGGCCTGGATTTCATGTGTTATTTTTAAGTCAAAACAACAGGAAAGGAAAAGACAGGATACTAGTGGTTTAACCAATCTATGCCAGAAAAGAAATCCTAGGGGCTGCAGACAGATAAAGCTGGGGAGGGTTCAACCCCCCTGGGAGCTGGGCACAATTAGGAAATAAGTGCCAACAGGTATGCTCAGGACTTGTCAGATAAGACATGATTCCCAAAGGGTTACAGCCCAGTTTGGTCTGGAAGAAGCTGAAGGGAGGGGCCCACCAGCTTGCCCATCCATCCCCTGTGCCTCCCAAGAGAGAGGAGCACAGCTCAGTGGTCATGCTGAACCCATACTGTGTTTGTGTAAAACCAAGAGCATCAAAATGTAACCATGGTGGGCAGTCTGGACATCAGTGAGTGGATTATAACATCATTGTGAAAAGTGTATGTACCCCAACCCACCCCAGCACATCCACCTTACACACTATGGTGGATACCTTCTGCATTTCCATGAGTAGACAGTCAGTCAAATCCCTGGAACAGTTGAGGTCCAGAGACTGAAGGTGTTCCTTGGCTCTCTCCAATGTATACTGTTTTATCTCAGACACATTTTTAATAATCCTTTTATGGCTTCCAGGCAGGAAGTGTAAGAAGCCTCCTGAATTATTATAAAGCTGAAGAGAATGAAAACTGTATTACTAAATATTTTTTCTGTATGTGATACGGTTTTCTGTGTTGTATCATCTCCAAACATAAATTTATAGCTGTTTTTATCATACAATTTAGGAAATTTTGAGAAACAGTGTTTTTGGGGGGGTGCCATTCTCCTAGGCAGTGCACCTGTGGTGAAAATGTGCACACGTAAGTAGATACATGCCTAGGCCAGGAAAAGGATGTTCGGGGTCCCAAAGACATCTCTCAGGGGAATAAAAGGAGCTATCTAGTCAAACACCCTCTGACATGCTCCTGTTCCCTGGTTTTTCTTGACCTGTTTATCCCATACAACCTGAATTTTCCTTCTCCTTCTAATGTGAACTACACCACTAAAAATTAATGAAAGAGGAGAAAAATAGCCACCTGGAGCCAAGGGGTACTTAGCAGGTAGAAGTTCTCATTGAACAAGCTCATGAGCCTCAGACACTGTTTGTCATTATAGTCGAAACGCCTGTTGAAAAGGATGTCTGCTATGACGTTGAAGGGTGCACAGCCAATGAGAAAGGTGGGGTCAAAGGGCTGGCCTGGAAAACAAGTGAGATGTCAGAGTCTATGTGGGAATGAGTGTGGGCACATGGTCTTCCCCAGCCAATAACTCAGTCTCCTGCAAGTCTTCACCAATGCCTATGAGAACATACCCCAGAACTTGGCAAGAAACAAAAGATAGTGAATGTTCAGCCTCTTCAGGTTGTCTTCGCTTGTGACTCTGGAAAATTAGAGCTGGAAACTGGAGTCCAGAGGCAGTGCCTGGGGACCAGTGTGATCCTCTCCTTGTCTTGGGTCCTTTTAGCTGCCAACTGCTTCCAGGTTGTTCAGTACCCTCTGGGGGCCTGATCAGGGCCCTCCCCAGCTGTCTGCCTAAAGATACGCACCCTGAGTCTTCCTGAGTTCTTCCACCAAGAAGTAGGCCTCTCTCTGGATCCGCGCCTCATTGCCCTGTTTCCCCATCCCATAGTCCCGGAGGGTGGTGAGGGAAAACCGCCGGACATCCCGCCAGGTGGGTCCATTATTAAAAATAACTCCTAATGAAGAGGGACAATCAGAGGTTACTGCAAATGCCCAATTCGTTGACAAACAGGGTGGGGTGGGAAGTGGCCCTGTCATGGCCTTGGGGTGCTGGGTGGGATGTGCAGATGTGGAAGAAGCCTGTGAGGAAGGACGGGGCATGCTGTGTTTCTCTGGCACATTCAGCCCTTCCTGGGGGCCTTCTTCATACCACCAGTTTATTTTCTTGAGTTTTACACTTTGCCCCGAACCTTTCTCATGTTAAATAAAACCACATGTATCCATACCAAGAAAGAACTCTCACTTCTTTCCTGCCTATTGACAAAATTCTTGAACAGCCTTTCTGTTCCCATGGATTTTAACTCTCACACTATAAACATCTCAACTCATGGCTTTGTGGCTTCAAAGCAACACCCTTTTCTAAAATCTGTAGTTCATAGGATTCTCTACTGTGGGGACATCCAGCTGGGAAAACTAAGCACTGTCCCTTTTACACACCTCCTGGTGGTCAAACCAAATCCTTTCTGTCTCTCCTCCTAGCATGTGGCTTGCTGAACCCCCTGGAAGACATTTGTAATCAACAGATCTAAAAGTAAACTCCACATACTTCCATCCCTATCTCACTTAACTACGAGCACTTTTCTGTTCTTTCCTAGACATAAATCTGAGTCATCTTGACTGCTGGCTTGTTCAGTTGTCTCCATGAAAACGTTGGATACCCTTAGGGCCTGCTCCAGACCCACCCAGCTCCTGCTGGTCAGAGCCCCTCTCTGCCATGTGCCCTCTAAGCTCCAGGGGCCCCTGACCTCCCTTCTTCACCTACCTACGTCCTTCTATTACTTTATCTATCATCATTTCTTCAACAAGTACATTTTGGTACCTATGTGTATAAAGTACTTGCTGGGATCTGGGCATTCTGAGATAAACAGTGCACAGCATCTAGTCAATATGAACCTTACTGCAGCTTTCATCCAGGCACAGGCCATTGCCAAGTGGTCTTAGTGTCTCTTTGACTGTCTTCATCATGTGATGTTGCTATTATTATTCATGTAGATTTGGGTGGGAGGGGCAACATGGCACACACATCACTGTCCCTGTAGATTTGCACCCACCCACTGCCTGTAAAGTGGACTCACCCTTGTCCTTGTGCCCCTCGAACACAGGGATCTCCCCTCGGCCAGAGAAGTCATTCTTGTGGTTCAGCAGCACCTCCTTCACAGCCTTGTAACCATGCAGAACCACGACAGGGCGGCCACCCATATGCAGTGTGAACACTGGTCCATAGCGCTCTGCCAGCTACAGAGACAAACACATATCGTGGGCAGGAGGTAGACAGAAGGCAGTCGTCTCTAGACTGCACTGCCATTATTGTTACTTTTATTCTCAGATCATTAAGGAGATTTGGGGAAAGGCCATCTTTGTCCAGCCTGATGTGTTGAGACTGACCTGATTAGAGGTTGCTGGATTTGCAGGGGCCCACTCCCTTCCTGAACACCAACTCCAGGGACTTTGGGTCTTCTTCCCCATATCAGTTTTGCCAACACCCATGCTCATCAACCAATTGTTTGCTTCTAAGGTCAAGGTCCTGAATTCCAGGGCACTGACAACTTATCTGGAGTCTGTGCTCCCACAGCCAGTACCCACTCTGTGGTGTGCAATGACACCCCCTGATGTAAACGTCAACTACCATATCTGTACCCGACAGCATTTTGGCTTTGGTCAGATCACACAAAGTTCCCAGGATACAAGTGCTGATATTCTGGTAAAACACCATTGATCCAACATTTTGCTGTGTCTGCTATTTGGCATTATACAGGTTGATACCAATCAAGATGCACCTGACATTGCATCACAACTGGCACATGGCAATGACAGCCACACCAGGGTCCCACAATGACTCCAACTACATGGGGCCTCCAGGGCCTGTGTGGCAACATCCATCCTAAGTGCTCTGTGCCCAAGATGTACTACTGGCTAAGAATTATGGATGTCATTACTGAGCATTTCTATTAATTCAGATAACTCATAACAGGCTCGCATTGGATAACGATAGTCCATCTGACAATGAATTGAGTACACTCATACGAGATCTCATTGGCTCATTTTCCTAAAGTAACAATATTTCTCTTACCTTGGCAAAGGACTTAGGAATATCCTTCAAATCCACCTGGAAAAAATTCCCAAAAATAGGAAGTGGGAAAGGTCCTGGGGGCAGGTTCCAGCTGCTGTGGATCTGCTTCCAAAAGGATATGAGCAGGAGGATGGCCACCCACACCAACAGGGCAATGGTGATACCAAGAGCAGCCATGGCACCTCTGGAGCCCACTGGTGACTTGTAGGAATGATCTGAGTAACCACAAAGCTTTTAAATTGCATTGTCAATGAGGAGGGTAACCCACCAACCAATGCCACCTTCCTTCTCCCTTGGCCCAAGGCATTGGTTTATTATTAGCTATAGTTGGCTATCATTTCAAAGGCTGATGCCTGTGGCAGTTGCCTCTTAGAAGTTGCATCCAGTGACCTGACAAAGATGAGTTTGGGCTCTGTCAATACTCTACTCTGACACCTGTCACAGTTCCAGTAAACACAGCCAGGGACACTTCAACAACTCATAGGTCAGTCCTGGGGGTGGAAGACTGTCCTCCCCCTTGACACTGGTTGGACATAGTGGGGACATTCAGATTATGTTTTCATGAGTTTCTTTGGGGTAGGGTTCATTAAGGTAGTGCTAGCCATATACTGACCATTCCAGGCAGGTGCCAGCACTACAACTGGTGCAAACACTTCTTTAACTTCCAATCAGGAGGTTTGTCTAAGTAGAACCAGTATACCTGGATCACCTCCTGGAAACTATTGGTGACAGAGGAGAGAAACTATACTTCTGAACCCCATACCACTTTGGCAAATCAACTGGAGAATTCAGAGGCAAAAAAGAGAAAGTAGTAAAGAATGGGAGCTAACCAATTCTGAGGCAGTTAATCTCTGATTATTAAGATGGTATGCATGATGTACACATAAATGCCATGCTGAAGTCAAACCAGGGCCTTGTACGTGCTCTACCACTCAGTCACACCCTCAGCTCCTGAAAAGGTTCATTTTTATTGTAGAAAATTGAGTGGAAATTATTCCTCATCGTCACTTTGTCAAATTCTTAAAAACAATTCTATTTGGGTTTTTACTGGGTTTGTTTCATATCACCATGTCATACTTGGAAGAATGTGTATTTATAAAATACTTTGTCCTTGTTTCCAAGGAGTACTGTGAAGCTCCACATTTTTCTACATCTTTTTTTTTTTTAGCCCAGGCTGGCCTCGAACTTGTGATCCTCCTGCCTCATCCTCTTCGCCTCGTTGATTACCGGCGTGCACCACCATGACCGGTTTTCTTTCTTTTTTTTTCTACATCTTCTTAAGTGTGTTCATAATTTCCTTCAAATAGCCCCACATCCACTTTTCTATTAGGGCTATCTCTAGGTATTTTGTGGAGATTTTTATGTGTGTGCTAAGAATGAAGAGACTGTTTTTCATTTTATCTCCTACCTGGTGATATGAACAAAATCTTAGTTTTGTATTGTAATTTTATACTTTTACATAAGTTACACAACTTTATGTAATAGAAAATGTAACAAAAATGAAGAAAATAAACTTCACAATGTGTTCAAATGATGTGGATTTTGGGTTATGGCCATTTATTTTTTTATTTATATAAATGGAACCATACACTATACCCTGCATTCTAACCCATATTCCATCTGAACAATCCATTAGCAGCTCGGACAAGTCATTGCTTTGCCCTTCAATCCACAGCCATCATTCTAATGTCTGCTTGCTAACTCTTCTGGGCTACTACAGAAAGAGGCTTAGGGCTTCAGGGCCTTTTCTGCCTTTGCTAATAACATGAGTTAACCTACTCTGGGATGGGTTACTGTGTCCCCTGCTCCTGACTCTCCTTTGCAGAGGCCATGTGGGGCAGCAGAACTGTCCTGAAGGTAGAGACTAAGCTGTTTTGATGCCTGCCCCTTGCTCTCCTGGTCTGGGCCCAAATAAGCTTTCCAGGGATGCCTGTGAGGATCCACATTTCCTTGCTTGTTGTTCCTCCTGTGTGTCAGGGGAGCATTAGCTTCCCTCAGGCTGAAAGTCAAGACTTGGATTTGGTGGATTCAAGCCAGGAAGATCAGGGTATGCAAGGTTGATCAGGCCTCTGGCTCCCATTGCTGAGGATAGCTGCACCTGCACAGCTCACCTCAGCATGCACACCCCAGAGAGTGAGCCTCCCAGAGATGCATATGTGGTCTGGGCAAGGTCTGACTATTTGGGGCCTCTGGACATAATACTGTGATGCCACCAACATCAAGCTCTAAATGCAAAATATGTACCTTTGGAAAATAGTGATATTTCTAGGTGCTTCTATTTAGATCAGTGGCTTTTGTTTGTTTTGATCTTATTCTGTTGACTAGACCTTCTAGAACAAGGTCAGATAATCTGGTTGACAAAGTGGCTGGGCCTTGTGCCCACAGCAGTAGGCAATTTTTCAAGCCTCCTTCACATCTGTAGTTCCTGAGTGTGCACACTGGGGAAGTTTTCCTCTTTCTCTAGCTAACTAACAGTGTTTTGCAGAGATGAGAACTGAGTTGACATTACACCTTTTCGAGTGAGAAAAGCCTATGATTTTTCTTCTTAGATTTGTCTGTGTGATGCTAGGGGAAAGCATTGCCTCATTCACCTGGTACAGTGGCTCACATCTCTAGTCCTAGCTACTCAGGGGTATAGATGGCAGGGTGGGGGAATCTTTGTTTGAGGTCAGCCTATGCAAAATGTTAGTGATACTCCTTCCCAACCAATATAGCTGGCGTAATAGTGTGCACCTGTCATCCCAGTTTCCTAAATAGGAAGATCAGGGTCTAATCTGGCCTAGACAAAAAGATGTGAGACCCTATTTGAAAAATAACTAAAGCAAAAAGGACTGGGGACATGGCTTAAGTGGTAGAACATAAGCCTAGCAATCTAGCAGCTAACAACCCTGAGTTCAATACCTTCAAAAAAAGTACTCCTAGAAATGACCCAAGCCTTGTATGCACATATGAATAATAAAATAATTTTAAAAAAAAGTACTCCTATACCTATTGGAGTGATACTCTTGTAATATGCAAACAGATTTTAACTTGTTAATAGTGTTATTAGTAATCTTGTATCCATAGATAAACAAACAAACAAATAATAAAATAGGGCTTTTTTTGTGTGTGTTTAGGTTTTTGTGAAAAATTGCTAACTCTAGAAACCATGAAATACCCTCTATCTTGCTCTGTGCTTTTGGATACTTTAAAGGGAAGGACATTGTCTGAACTTTGAAATTTTGATAATGCTTACTAGCAAAATAATAGAGAGAGGCTTCACTGAGTTAAAGCTTTGCTTATAAATGTTAAAAAGATACTTTTAATTGAGAAAGTAAAACATCTCCTTTTAACAGATCCAAACAATATAGAAGTGAATGAAGCACAAAGTGACTCCTAAACCCATCTCACAGAAGTGGCTTTAATATTTTTTGTTTCTTTTTTTTTAAATTAGGATATATTTGTTGTACAGGGGGAGTTCCTTGTAACAATTTCCAATAGGCTTACATTGTACATTGATTAGGTCACCACTCCATTCCCCCGCAAGGCCACAACTCCCTCCCCACCCCACTTAAAGCACTCACAAGAGGTTTTATTGTTCTATTTTGTGAATGTATATGAAGCACATCAGTCATATTCCCTGACCTTCATCTCCTCCATTCATCCTCCCCCTTTCCATAAGTATCCACCCCACCAACACATTGCATCTATTTTTACAGTCCTGTCTTTCTTAAATCAATGTTCAAAGGGGTTTCTCAATGAATCCCCACTGTGAGTACACTTTATTTGTTCAGTTATCCTATTCCATTAGGAATGGATAATCCCTTCCATTATCCCATTAAGAAAGAAAGCATGTTCCCAATTCTCTTTTTACCATTTCTAATTTTATTTTATGCCTACTAAAAAATATCTCTTGTGCTCTGATTATGTGTGTCAGGTAAGTTTGAATTACTACCCAGTGTCCTTTGTTTTAGCGTGAAGGAATCTGTTAGTATAAGACAACCTGCTCATGATGCTCTATTTTGTTTAACTAAACAACCTTCATTTCTCTTTCTTTTGTGAAGAGTATTTGTTTTATGTATAGAGCTTTTTTGTTGGAAGTGCTTTTCTTTCAGCACTTCAAATGTATCATCCTCACCTCTGGCCTTTGCAGTTCTGTGGGAATCTACTGCTATGCTGGGCTTATCATGATGCCTTGTTTTGCTCTGTTACTTTCCAGATTCTGCTCTTTGTCTTCTCACGGTGTATTTAGGTATAGGCGTCTTTTAGTTCCTACTTGGAATTTTTTCAGCTTCTTGCACATGTAAATGAATGTTTTTCATTGAATTTGGGAAGTTTTTAATCATCATCTCTTGACAGTTTTTCTATCCCCTTCTTTTGTCTCCTCTTGGAGTTAGGTATTATTACGATGATCCACAGGTCTCTGAGGCTCTGTTCAGAAATCTTTTCTTTATGTTGACAATTTTGCTAGTATTCTCATTGCTCTTCTAGAGGAAAAGACCTCAGAGGTTCTTCCTCTGCAATTCCTGAAGGGTTTTCCTTGCCTGTCCTTTTCACCAGGAAATTGAGAGAGCTTTCCAAGAAACTTCCTGATAATCTGAAATTTAAAAATTACTGGTTAGAACATGGCCTCTTCTATCTGCAAGAGCGGTAGGAAAGTGACGTTAGTAGAATAAACAGTCCCCTTGATCATCACTGCCGTGTTTTCTGTTTATAGTATTTTTCCTGCTCTATCTTGGTTAATTCTAGCATTTAAAGTACCTCTATGTCATTTTGTCTCAGTAAGTATCTTGTAAACATACTGTATCTTTGATGTAATTGGAAAGCTTTTCTTTTTTAATGGAAGAATTGGACAGTTGTATTGGCCACTATCCCCAATAAACCTGGCTCTGTGTGTGTGTGTGTGTGTGTGTGTGTAGGGGGGTTGTCCCACCTCACCTGCTCACATGCTCCCTTCCCCTATGCTTTTCTAGCTAGATAATATTTTGTTTATTCTTCTCTTCCTTGATGCTTTGGAGTTCCAATGGCTTGCCGTTAGTATGCTGGTGATTGCTGTTCAATCTGGGGGCATATTTAGATTTGTGCTCTTAATTACCTGGAACAATTAATCACCAACTTCTGATCTGAACAAGGAGAGACCTTCAGCAGATTTCTTCTACACTTTCCATACAATGTACCCCTCCATCCCAACTCCAGAA